ACTTTAGACTTTATTGTCCCCAAGGGAAAATTATTTTTCTTTTTAATGGTGATGAACGCTGGTTGGAGGTCCCCCCCAATTGATTCTTGCTTAGGAGACTCTAAAATCGCATCAAGCTGACAACACACAGGACACGCCTCCCTCAGTCTCCAATCAGCTGTTACACCTGAACAAAACCTGTTGCTGTCTGACTTTATGGAAAATAATCAAGCAAGCAAAATGTCTAAAAAAAGAAAAGAAGTGATGGTTAAAGGCTGCTGTCCTATAGTAGGTATAAAGCCATGAACCAACCATCTTAAATATTTGTGAAATGTATAAGAACTCTGTCTTTTTTCTTAAATAAATGATGTAACATTATTTATGCTTTAGGGTCAAATTACATCCAGTTTGTAATCATTGCAATGCAAACATCTGGAGCCAGACAGTAACCATAAATGTACAACATCTGTATTTCAGAGTTTAACGAATACGAACTCTGCATTAGTTTGGGTTCATTAGCAATTGTTTCAAAGCATTTCAAAGGTAAATTGAGGTTAAATCAGAGGGCAGACTTTGTGCAGACTGCTGCACTGTTTGGCTCCCTCTTCTGGATGTTCAACAGCTTTGACACTTCTGAAAACACTTGTCTACTTCTTATTTTCCATCAAACCTCACGAACAAGCAGCTGGAACAACATGTTAGAACATAAAAAAACAAAGAATATCTTCAGATGTGTCCTTATTTATCCATTAATGTCTACACACAGAATCAGTATACTCATTTCTGGAGGTTTCCATTAGAGTGGTGTATAAACATGCACACTAACCCAGGGCCAGGAAGGAGTAGACCCACTGCAGCACCGAGGCCGTCTGCAGCCTCCTGTTGAGCGAGGTATCCAGAGGGGCAAAATCTATCTTCATGTTTCCACGAGAGAAGAGAGACAAACTGAGGCGCTGCAGCCGGCGGACAAGAAGAAGGAGAACGATTGAAAAAGAAGTGAAGTGAGTCCAAAGTCTTCATCTCTCACCTCTCTCCCCATCACCTCCTGCTGACTGTGTTATCTCAGAGACCCAATCAAAGGTTTGATTAGTCAATCCATATCTACAACATCTGACCCTTGACCCTGCAAGGAGGGAGCTGCTGAAACACAGAACAACAGAACACTCAAACATGAAGCACAAGCCAGTGAAATACACAGATTTTAAAGACACGTGCATGTTGCTTTTAAATGTTTGTTTTCTCAACCTCCTGCACTGCAACAAAAGTAAGTATGAAGGTCAGCAAAATAATAAGTATGTCTTCATTCTTGTAAATGTAGCTCCATGTGGTTGAGCCACCATATTACAGCATCTCAGATATAGCTCAGTCTGAAGGGACTCGGATTGGGAACCAGCGGGACTTTAACTGGACCAAAAGTTGCTGGAGAGGTGCCAGGTCACATCCCGAGTACTGCCGAGATGCTCTTGAGCAAGGAACCGAACCCCTAACTTCTCTGAGACTCTCTCATGTGCAGCCCCTCACTCTGACATCGCTCCATTAAAACATGTCCACAGGTGCTGTTTGTGCATGTGTGTATTTCAGGCCTTTGTGTCTCTCAATAAGAGAGTGTAGACCAGAATTTACACTCTGGATTGATAAAGAGTGTAATATACATTTAAAAAAAAAACCTTTGTACAGATGTGACAAACTTTTTGTTGTCACATAAAACTAATACTGGGGTTGTTTTAAATGATTTAAATATTACTGAAAGCTCATGTGTAGAGTTCTTAGCTGGTCATGAAACAGACTGAAATGGATACTGGTGACCTAGAAAAACAAATCATAAGATCATAAGCAAGAAAATACATTTCTATACAGTTATTTTAACGCTTTTGTTACCACTGCTGCGGGGTAGTGGTCTGACGAGGTGATTAACAACACGCTTTAGAAACAGTGTTTTGTTATCTTTTATCAGCTTCATTGCCCCTGACCGTCGTACAGGACGGCTGCTTGGCTTGTTTATGCTGCTAACAAACGGTTCTCCTTTATCCTGCATACAAAGCAAGAGGAGAAGCGGAGTATATTTTCTGAACTGGGTCACTTTATTCACTGACACTGTAGACATTTACACACTCATACCATAGTGGGAACATCAACCACAACTCATCTCATAGCATACATTACCCATAAGCCACCTACCTAAAGGGACAGACTCAGGTCGGTAACAGCTTGTTTACATTTTATGAGGCAATACGTTTCAGAAGACATCAGATAACACTACACATGTACGGGACAAAATCAGCAAAGAAACAACAGGCAGAGTTTTGTCCACAGGGGGCGCCAGAATCGCTCAAAAAAAAATCCCTCACAAGAACTTTTGAGGAGGAATGTGCGACTTTTTGTTCCAGTAGATGTCGCCCTGGAGCACCAGGATGAAACCAAAACAAACTGCTGTTTGACTACACCTCCTCCATACTGTAGCCTCCGCTCTCCTCCTTCCCCTCACACTTGCATGAAGGAGTCAAAATTCTCCTTTGCTCAAACTGCAAATGCCTGTGTCCTGCATTGTTGTGTTAGCACACTTTAGTTAGCTCGTAGCTTCACATTGCATTTAAATTGGTACAGAATGACTATGATCTAAAAACGCTTACGTGTCATTCAAATAATCAGTGAGTATGTTCTTCTTCTTCTCTCTAGTCCTGAACAAAAACAGCTTTTACACACAAGGGGAGGAGCCGGCCGTCCCGTCCATGTAAACATGACTCTGACAACAACACAGCCAGCGGGACTCGAGCTTCTCACTCATTGTAGACAGTCATGACTCAGAGACACATTTGCAGAGGATATATTCAATTTCTGCTTTTGTGTAAAATATCATACATTCTTCCTTTCAAAGCAAAGTATTAGTTAGTAAAGCCTTATATAAGTCAACAATCACATTTTCTGATTAAAAAGTTGGATGCTCTTCAGAAGTATTGATAAAAAAAAGACGATAACAGAAGATAGTGTAATAAAGCCACCCAGTCCTTGAAACACTGAGACACACACCTTTAATCTTCTTTATATCTGTTCCCCTCGTTAGCTTTTATTAGACTGACATTTACTCGAGCTGATGGGCATGACAGCCATGATTGTTTTGATTACATCTTCATTAATAATTGATTTATTCAAGGCCTATGTGATATAATTACCTCATTAACACAATGCTCAGTCTGCCTGTTAATGTTTACCTGCAACTTCTGACGAAACAATGTAAATATAACTGATATGTGACACAAATAAATAATAATAAATCCTAACAGCATTGGAGTGATCATTTCTTGTTAAACTGAGCCGTCAGCCTTCATTGTGACAAAGCTTCACTCTGATTATGTGCTTGTCTTTTGATTGCTTAAAAATCATGGCTCAATATGACACCGAGCCTCAGGGTGTGTAATGAGTCGGCATTATTCATGTATTCTACTATTTGCTGGCACAGTCGGCCTCTAATGGAAAATCTTTGTCACAAAGGCAGTTCAGCATGAATCAGTAGTTTACACTTCAAAGTAGATCCATTTGTGGCTTTGGCAGGTTGTCCTATTTAAATAAGATTACTATTATCATAAGCAGCGTGCATGTCTTCCAATTAAAATATTTTTTTATATTCATGAATTTTACTTTGCAAAGAACTGCATTGCAATCCTAAATATCAGTGTTGTAGTCAAGACCACACTAACCGAGACCAGAGTGCTCTGAGACCAAGATAAGACAAACATTTAGGGATCAAGACCGAGTCAAGACAAAGGCCAAGATAAGGCGAGACCGAGTCAAGACCAAGACAGGGTGATCTTGATTAAAATCTGGAGTTTGACCAGTCCGAGACCGAGACAAGACCGAGTAAAAATGCTTTAGATTCCGAGACAAGACCTAGACCTCCAAAAAGTGGTCTCGAGACCAGACTGATTTCAAGTACTAGAACAACACTACCAAATATTAACTCTGTCTAGTATCATAACTCCTTATCCTTCTTTTTTATTAGGAATTATTGATAATAAAACAGGCATGACATAAATCACACAAACACTACATACTTATATAAAAGACAAATAAAAAAAATACAATATGTTCAGCGAAAAGAGGGGGGAGGGGAGGGGCATTAATAAATGCTTATTGACGAATGCTTGAAAAACTTCTAATTGGGTGTAGGTTGGTTTCTTTTGTTGATGTTTTTAAAGCTCATGTGAGGAACCTTTACTTTGTTTGATTTTTGGCGCCCCCTTGTGGACAAAGCAGTAACTCATCCATTTCTGACTTTGTCCTGTGTAGTTTTTTTTAACAACAAATTCCTGCATGCTTTTAACTGTCAATCAGTCGCTGTAAATATTTGCTTTGGAAATGTAGACGAGCTGCGTGCTGTTAATCACTTTGTTTACAGGCAATTAAAACAACTATTGCAATTCATTATATTGCTGACACTTGATTTTGTGAATCATATAGAGGCCACTTTATTAATGAGTTCGTTTCCTAACAAGATATTTTTTAAAACTCCTCACCATGAGCTTCAAGGTGACATAGGGATAGTCTGTTTCTTTTTCTGACTCGCATTTTGTTCTTGTTTTAAGACATTTTATTTAATATCAGTGTTCAGTGATGGATGGACTAAACGTCCCTCCTCCTTTGGACTACCTCTACGCACCGTACGTAAATGAAAAAAAAAAGAAACATCACCTAGACCTATGTCAAGTTCTCTGTGGTAAATAGCCATACCGGAATTATTTAAACACTTCAAAATAAAAGCAGCAGAACCAATTGTGTGATTACTACAGATACTCATTGTTATGAGCCAGCCTATTATATATATAGGCTATTTTCTTTCTTGCACGTTGTCTTCTGGGTGTGTTTTAAAAAATCTGAGTTCTTGTCTGTTTGACAGGAGTGTTATACAGCTCTAAATGGATATTTTTAAACCGGAAGCGCTTTCATGTTGCGTCTGGCTTGTTGTTTTCCACCTCGGTGGCACCACTTTGGTGTCTCCGGGATGCTGAGCAGGAGGGCGGGGCTGTGATTCTTGCAGTGCCGTGGAGTGATGAAGCAGGACGAAGCGGACACAGACAGGAGCAGAGCAAACGTCGCTACGGTTGTTTTATCGAAGTGAACTCGGTCAGATTTTAGTATTTTTTAGATGCACGATGGATTTACTCCGTAATTACCAAATTTAACGCATCGAAACGTCTCAAATATTGGAGGTATCCGTGCAGCCTGACACACGGACATCTTGGTTCCCTCACATCAGGAGTGTAGGGACATATTTTCCTTCACCTTGGACCCTGTGCAGGTTGTTGTGTGGTTGTGGAGCTCTCTTTAGCCCATCATGGCGTGGCCCTGTATCAGCAGGGCGTGCTGCATGTCCCGCTTCTGGAACCAGCTGGATAAGGCTGACATTGCGGTGCCTTTGGTCTTCACCAAGTACACGGACGTCTCTGAGATGCAGCACATCCAGCTGCAGCCTCCCCAGGCCCGGGTCGCCATAGAAACGCAGCCGTCTCGCGGACATTCCCGCACCCCGGCGGCGGGTCGCGCGCCGCGAAGGTGCGTCTCCGAGGAGCGCGTGTGCAGCTCGGTGATGCGCGAGGACTTTAAACACTGGAAAGTGCGACCGGAACCGAGCTGTAAACCCAAGAACGAGTACCACGGACCCGAAACACCGTTCAACGGCGAGACCCAGTACATGAAGGACTACAAGCCCTGGCCCATCCCGAAAAGGTGCGACCACCCCTGGATAAGCAAACCTGCAACCGACGACCGGCCCCGGCACGAGAAAAAACATCTGGCGGATGCGGACAGCGGCGTGGAGAAGAGCGCGATAGCTGACAAGGTCCAGGAGAAAGACCTGCTCCAGGGCCAGGAGAGGAAAAAGAAGTCCAGTAAACCGGAGGGGGTGAAGAAGGTGGTCGTGAAGGTGGAGGGAGAGGGCAAAGGGAGGGCAGCGGCGGATGCTGTGAACCGGCAGATCAAAGAGGAGATCACAGCCGGCAGCTCGTACAAGTGAGTTCAAACACTGACGGCCATTAAGGTCAACACTGAACAGGTGCAGAGGCAGCAGACACGAGGGGGTTTGAGGGTCCAAATTGGTACCACAGCTAGCCTGCTTTACATGTCGAATCGTTTTTAATACCCAGAAAGACCTTTATGCCCATCATTGGTTTACACACTACTCTTACACATTTAATCTGTTTTCAGGGACTTTTTTTTTTCAAATAATAGTGGTGGGGAAGAGAGCTGAACATTAGGCTAGTTTCCCCTTTTTCAAACAATAAAGCACTCTCTTGCATTATTGATATTTTCTCTGAAGCTCCTTCTAACAGTAAGAGACTTATAAGTAGTAATAAAAACAACATTTATGAACAATGCAAGAAGGATGATTTTATTTCAATTTAAACCCTTGATTTGTTTAGCCAACCGACTCTACATTACAAAACTTAGAAGGAATTTCAATGGCCCAAATTTTACTTAAAGGAGCAGTATGCAACTCTGAACCTAGTGTTTAAAATGGGTACTGCAGTCCAAATTCAAAACATTGTAGAGAGCTGTTTGCCCCCCGCCCACTCCCCCATAGAGTCGAAGGACACACAGGTTGCTATCTGGTGAACACTGAAGCTTCAGTGTTTATCCAGCTCTGCATCAGTCTGTAAACCTTTCTGTGTTCTAACCTCTCTCCATTTTTCAAAATCATCTCCAATATTGATCCTAGTTTGAGCACGTTTCTGCTCGTGGAGCTTATTAGAAACATGTAGAGGCTTTTTAGGTCGGGTACAATCACTTCTATCTGAACCACTTCTCTTGCCCTCTTCCATCGCTGCAACACCTGTTGACCTGATAACTGCTCTCATATCTGGCAAACCGAGGGGCGTCCAAAACGGCCGTGTGGGGGTGTCTTAAAACCGCCTAGCTTCTCTGGTCCAAACAAATCCAGAGCATTCAGGAGCAGAATCTAAAGTTAGAAGGAGGACATACTGGCTGCTGCATTGTTGTCAGAGAAGCCAGCACTTCAACATAGCATGTTTCCTTAATGTCTGATCATATAGTAAGGTCACTTTATCATTCTTTTCAGTAGTTATCTTACAGGTTGCTCCTTTAACATGTCCTGTTTAGCAGATATAAAAGACACAGGAACACTCTCTGATTTGAGGACCATGGACAAGTTGGCCTTGGCTCAGATGAAAACTTGAAATAAGAAGATGCTATTTAAAGGAAAACATCAGTTATTTGTTGCACTGCTAGCCTCTTTCCACTGTACAAGCGTTAATTGGGGGTGACTAATACACTTACTAATCTCAGGAAAACAGCTGTTTCACAAACTCATTGAAGGCTTGTTTTCTTAGCATAAGGCGGAGCGGTTCATTTCTATTTTCTACACAGCAGGTATGATGACATTTAAAAGGTTAAGGTGGATTTTGTTGCCAAATACTGTTGATGTTTACGTCCACGGGGCTAATCTCTGTGTGATTATGCAACGTTCCCCCGAGGATGATGGGAACTGGTGGATGAATGAGCATCGAGTCACGCACGTCACAATAACTGTACGCATGAGTCCTGAAGCTGTGCTTTGATATTATCTGTTGCATTTGTGCTTCGGAAAGACAGTGAGATTATGGGATAGTTGTGATCATATCACTACGTTCACATTAAAGGATACACATCAGAGTTTTTTTTGGGCTCCGTGTTAGATCTGTGCTCTTTGGGCTGATCTGTGATTGGCACTCTGTGAGTTCAGTGAGTGGGTCTTACAGATGTTTGGAGCCCTGCAGTCCTGTCTGGGTCGTTGAGCAGTCAGCAGGGTGCCGCCGGGGGCTCTCCCCCCCCCCCCCCATGGCAAGAAATGGCTGCAACGTGACAAGCAGCATCCCTGGGAAGTCTGTGTCTTCATCTGCAGGCAGAGACTCAAAGCAGGTCAGCTGTGGGTTAATACCATGGGTGGTGGACACAGTGACGATGACAGGCACACACACGCACACACAGATGCACACATGAATATCCTGTATAGAGATGTCCTAATACTACTGTATGTCTTCTTTTGGCCCTACAGTACAAACCCTACATGATTACTATTATAAAACTAAATCCTTGCATACTTGTCACCTTGTTGTTTTACTGGTGGGACTTTGAGTTTCACACATTTTGCGAGTTTGTTTTTGTGCTTACACCTTTACTGGCTCTGTGTTGTCTGCTGTCTTGATGTGATAAATTACCTCAGTGGTCAGTTCTTCTTCTGTTGAAGACCTGATGTGTCCAGTGTCATGACTTGTTCAAAAGGCATGGCAAATAAAGGGAGACACACCTAAATAACACTTCATTAAGTTGATGTATTTGCAAAAAAAAACTGAGGTTTGGATGTCCGTAATGTAAGTGAGTGGGTGTGTGAAAAGTGTACTGTGCATGTGTTGGATGAAAATGGAAGCTGATGACACCAAACACAGTGCCTGCAGAAAGTCTCCCTGAGCAGGCTGAGGTGGCAGCTTTTATAAGGACTGTTAGGATTGGGCCCAGGTGCTCTCAGTCAGGCTCATTAAGCAGCCACACCTACTAATTACATGTACCTGCGACACAAGAGAATTGAAGACGCCTCCGAACAGGCCACAGGGCCGTTACCCCCGTGACAGGTTTAATGAATCAATGGAGGCAAAATAACCTGTGTAGGTTTCTGTTTTGAAACAGCGAGAGGACTAGATTTCTGTTGGAACAAGTTGAAAGATTTGTTTCGAGGGCCAAGGCTTATGAATAACTTTATTGCATTTATCAGTGTGTAGACTATCGACATCTTCCTCTTTCTGACTTTCCATTCTCGGGTGGAACAGCTGACCATCTATCTTTATCGAGGAGCTACAAAACTGATGGCAAAAAAAAAATCATTTTAATATAAGTTTTGGTGTGGCATCGATAATCACTCACATCGAGTCAGTGCAGGTGTTTTCCAATGTGGTCCAGACTCTGATGCATCAGATGCAGGACAAATTCCACACCAAGCTCTACGATCAGTTACAAAGGTGGGAATTAAAACTTCTGTAAAAATGTAGAAGCAATTACATTTTTTAATGGTTTATTTTGAGGCTTTTTATGCCTTTATTTTGAGACAGGACAGTGGATGGAGGCAGAAATTGGAGAGAGAGAGAGAGAGAGAGAGAGAGAGAGAGAGAGTGGGGAATGACATGTGGGAGGGGCCACAGGTCAGATTCAAATCTGTGCCGCTGGCTCCAAGTACTTTAGCCTCCGTACATGGAGCATGCACACTATCCACTAGGCTACCGGCAGCCCAAAGAGATGACATTTTTTACCCAAGAATATCTACAATTATACAATTCACTTAGCAGACGTTTTTATCCAAAGCAACGAAAAAAAACAAAAAAAAGCACTGTCTACAGTAGTCAACATGTTTGCTTGTAATGAAGTATTTGAGCTCAGTCCTGATGATGAATCTTGGGTTCACATTACTAATAACCTTCAGACATCAGAGCGGCAGAGTGTTTTCTGTCTTTAAGGGAATTGTTAAACAGACCGTAAAGTAAAAGTGATTTTAATACACAAAGACTTGCTCCCTTTGGCTTTTTATCCTGTTTAAATCGGGGCTATTTTAAGGTGACCTGGGCCAGCCTTGGGTCTTCATTTGCTGTATTCAGAGCGAAATTGATAAATCAGCCGGATAGAAGTGTATCAGCCCTTTAGGATCACTGCAGATATCAACAGCGGATCATCAAGACAACATATCGCAGCACAGAAAAGCAAGAGATATGTGAGAGTTAGTGAAAAACACTGCCATCACTTTAAAGTTCACAGTTTACTTTATCGATCCAGTGAGGGGAAATTCAATTTTTTACACACACATGCACAAACAGGATCCTGTGGACATGCACTAATGGAGAGATGACAGAGTGATGGGGGCTGCCCACAGCAAGCGCTTCTGAGCTGGTGGAAGAGTTTGGGGGGCAGGGGGTTCAGTGCCTTGCTCAAGGGCACGTTGGCAGTGCTTAGGAAGTTATCCCTTCAGCTACCAGACCAATTTCCAGATTTGGTCCGCACCAGGATTTGAACCAGCAACCCTTCAGTTCCTACCCAAGTCCTTACAGACTCAGCTACTGCTGCAGTAACCCATAGAGATCCTGATGAATCTGTATGCTTATCTGAAACATTGTTTCTGTAATCAAAATCAGGGAGAAAAAGATCTATTTTTATCATAAAAAGTATGTTTTTTTTATACATGATCACGCTGTTTCATATGACTTTCAACTTAACTGACAAATCCATGTGTTTGTGAGCGCTCCATGTCAGTCTCAGACAGGTCCGCAGGTAGCTGTGAAGTCATCAGACATAAATTACTGAAGAGACATCAGGTGATCACAGTCGTCAGAATCCTCCCCTATAGCCAGCAAGGTTATCATATCATCAGTATAAGCAGATAATCTTTAGAGCTGAGAAATAAGGATTTCAGAAGTCAGAGCTGTGGAGAAGTCGGTCTGTCAGTGTGAGAAGTTAACTCAGGCAGAAACAGAAACTTTGATGTCAGAGTCTGTCTGATCAAAACACTGTCAGACGTGACTTATCCGCAGTTTGTCACCGCTGCTATGACTGCCTCATGATGCAGCTCTTATCAATACATTTCAACAGTATCAAAAGTCTACCTGATGTATCTTGATGCATCAAAACGTGTTTCTTGTACACACTTAAGTTTCCTCAGAAATGACGAGTAGTACACAAAGATAAATCAGCTGCTTTCTATTACCCGCTTTTGTTTATTGACTCTGCTTTAAGTCATGCGTTGTACAGTCTTATAGCCTTTATTTAATAAGATAATCTCATTGAGATATAGATCTAATTTACAGAACAGACCTGAGAACAGTAGAGAAAAAAAGAAACAACAAACAACCAGACAAATAGAGGCATGTACTAGGGCCCGAACAATATGGGATTTTGGAGCCAATACCAATATTGATATTGGAGAGGATACATATATCAGCCGATATCTTTCATAGATTTATTTCCAGTCTGTAGAT